ATCTTCTCTTTAAAAGAAAAATATTTTATTATTTTACATGTATCAGTGTATTTCCTACATGTATGTAAGCGCACCTGTGTCCTGCATTGCCTGAGGATGTTAGATAGGGCATCGGATCCCCTGGAACTGGAGTTACAGACAGTTGTTAGCTGCCATGTGGGTGCTGGGAACCAAACCCAGGTCCTCTGGAAGAGCAGCCAGGGCTCTTAACCACTGAGCCATCTCTCCAGTCCTGGTTAACTATCTTCTTTTAAAGGGCCATTCCAAAAAAAAAAAAAAAATTATTCAAGCACAGCATGGTTGCTTACATCTATAATCCCAGCACTCAGGAAGCAGGAGCAGAAGGATCTTGAATTCAAGGTAAGTCCAGGTTATAATAGTGAAACTCTTGTTTCAAAAGTTAAATAAATAAAAGAACTAAGGATATAGATTAGCTAGTAAAATGTTTGCCCCAAAAGCAGGAGGACTTGAGTATGATCTTCAGAACCTAAGTAAAATTGCTGGGCACAGTGGTATACTCAGTACTAGGGAGGGAGAGACAAGATCTATGGATCTCACTTTCAGCCAGCCCCATGTAATTGGAAAGTTCCAGGCTCAAAGGAGGAAGACTGTCCCTGAGGATGACACCTGAAGTTGTCATCTGTCCTTTGCACTTACAAACATATACATATGAGCAGACCCTCCCAAACACACACACACACACACACACACACACACACACACACACATATATTCAAAGTATCAAATCAGGGCTAGTGGTGAGATAGTTCAATTGGGTTAAGGCAGCTGCCAGTTCAATCTCCAGAACTCACATGGTGGAAGGAGAGAACCAATTCCTACAAGTTGTCCACTGACCTCTACACACATGCTCTGGCATGTGTGCTCACATACATACAAACACACAATAAATAAATAAATGTAATAAAAAATTAAAAATAAACCAGGCGTGATGGTGCACGCCTTTAATCCCAGCACTTGGGAGGCAGAGGCAGGCGGATCTCTGTGAGTTCAAGGCCAGTCTGGTCTACATAGTGAATTCCAGGCCAGCTGGCGCTAACAGGGAGAATTTGTTTCAAAAAGACCAAAAAAAACCAAAAAACGAAAAACAAAAACAAAAAACCAGTAAATGATTGTAGATTGTCTGCCCTCTCCTCTTGAGTACTCTTATCTTGACTAGCTGGACCACATCCTCAAGGTCAAGGTCATGAATGAGTTACCACTCCTGTCCTCTTTTATCTGTATATGTAGTTTATGTGTGTATATGTGTTTCTGTGTGCATGTGTGTGGCGGCCAAAGGCTACTTTCAAGGTCTTTCTCAATTTTACTCCATCTTATTTTTATTTTTAAATTTTATTTATTATTATTATTATTATTTATTTATTATTATTATTTTTTGGTCTTTTTGAGACAGGGTCTCCCTGTAGCCCCAGCTGTCCTGGAACTATGTAGACCAGGCTGGCCTTGAACTCACAGAGATCCTCCTACCTCTGCCTCCCCAGTGCTGGGATTAAAAGCGCCTGCATGTAGGTAAGTGCACCTGTGTCATGCAATGCCCTCGGAGGTCAGAAGAGGTTGTCAGATCCCCTGTACTGGAGTTACAGACAGTTGTTAGCTGCCGTGTGGGTGCTGGGATTCAAACCTGGGTCTTCTGCAAGAACAACCAGTGCTCTTAACCGCTGAGCAATCTCTCCAGTCCCTCCATCTTATTTTTATATCCCTGTAATCCCATCACTGCCACGCCTAGCTTTTATGTGGGTGGTGGGATCACAACTTAGGTCCTCATGCTTCCATGGCAAGCACTCTACCACTAGGCCATCTCCCCAGCCTCTCACATGCCTTTCTCACACCCAAACCTTGTGGCCTTTCTATCAAATCATGTCCTACTGCTGCTCTCGGGCCCTAAGACAAGACCCTGCTTTGTTTCTCCTAATGTGGACATTCAGAGATAACAGAATGTGTTTCCTGAAGATAATGACATTCAAGAGCCTTCCTTTCACCATAGAAATAAACTAAAACTATCTCATGACATAACACGCCTCCAATCTGGACCAACTTTCATTTTCCGCTTCTTTCTTCTACTCAATACAAGACTCGCCCAGCAGAACATCTGCCCTTTCTGGAACATATCCAACACTGAGCTCATTTGCTGTGTTTCTTCAGCCCCAAATGTCCTTTGTTGGCTGTTTTATTTGAAGTACTGGGGACTGAACCCACAGTAAGTGCTCTACCACTGAGTTCTTTCCTTTCCCTCCCCCCCTCCTTTTTTCTTTCCCTGCTTTCTCTCCTCCTGTCTGGACCTTCCCAGCAGTCAGGATTGTAGGTATGTGCCACCATACTTGAACCAAATGTCTTTTTTTCTCTTTCTTTCTTTCTTTCTTTCTTTCTTTCTTTCTTTCTTTCTTTCTTTCTTTCTTTCTTTCTTTCTTTCTTTCTTTCCTTTCTTTTTCTCTCTCTCTCTTTTTTTTTTTTTTGGTCTTTTTGAGACAGGGTCTCCCTATAGCCTGGAACTTGTTATGTAGGCCAGGCTGTCCTTGAACTCACAGAGATCCTCCTGGAATGCTGGGTTTAAAGATTAAAGGTGTGTGCCACCATACCTGGCTTCTTTTTTCTTTTTTTAAAATTGAGTGTCCATTATGTGCTGGGTATTGTACTATGTGCTGGGATTCAAGCCAAGATAGACAAGATCTTTTCTGCTTTTCCTGGAGCCCACAGTTCCCTCTCCAAGGTCAGCTCCAGTCTATACTACCCTTGAAATCTTCCCCCATTACATTTGTGAGCATTAACTTCTGGAATTGAAGTTGTGGGTGCTGGGAACTGCAAGAGCAACCAGTGCTCTTAACCACTGATCCATCTCTCCAGTCCCAAGTTCTGTTTCTTAAAAATTACATAAAGGACAGTATGGATAGAATATTATGTCTGGGTAGGGCACGGTGGCCCACACCTTTAATCCCAAGGAAGCAGAGGCAGGTGGATCTCTGAGAAAGTGAGGCTAGTCTGGTCTACATAAAAATAAAATAAAATAGGGGCTGGAGAGATGGCTCAGCGGTTAAGAACACTGGCTGTTCTTGCAGAAGACCTGGGTTTGAATCCCAGCACTCACATGGCAGCTGACAACTGTTTGTAACTCCAGGTTCAGGGGATCCTATAGCCTCTTCTGTCCTCTGCAGGTACTGCATGGCAAAGGCACACTTACCTACATGAAGGCAATACGTGCATATAAATAAATAAAATAAAATAAAATACTTCAGTTTGGGGGCCTGGAAAGATGGCTCATCGGTTAAGAGCACTGGCTGCTCTTGCACAGGACCAGGGACCGAGGTTCAGTTCAGTTTTTTTGTTTTTGTTTTTTTTTTTATTTATTTTTTTGGTCTTCCTGTAGCCCCAGCTGGACTGGAACTCACTATGTAGACCAAGCTGGGCTTGAATTCACAGAGATCTACCTGTCTGCCTGCTTCTGCCTCCCAAGTGCTGAGATTAAAGGTGTGTGCCACCATACCTGGCCTGGGTTCACCCACATGGCAGCTAAACTCTTAGTAACTCCAGTTGAAGGTGATCTGATGCCCTCTTCTGGCTTCCTTGAGCACTACATGCATATAGTGCCATGCACCTACATACAGGCAAAATAGTCATACACATAAAAATAAATTTTAAAAAAAGATATTTCAGTTTGAGACTGAGGAGATGGCTCAGCAGCTAAAGCGCTTGCTGTGCAAGTGTGAGGATCAGGGTTCAGATCCCCCAAAACCCACATAAATGCCAGGTAGGAGTAGTAGTACACCTGAGAGTCTAACCTTAGAAAGGGGGGGAAAGGGAATCCTCAAAGCAAGCTGGCTAGCAAGACAAGCCATATGTCTGGGTGCTGGGATTTGATTATAAGACCCTTCCTCAATGAATTATGTGGAAGAACAATTGAGGGTGCTTCCTGCCATCAACCTCAGGCCTCCACATGCATGTGCACGTGTGCCCACACACATGTACCTCCATCACATATACATGAAAATGGAAAAAGAAAAATATAAAATACTTTAGTTCAAAAGTGGGTTATAGGGGTTAGAGAGATCTTACACTCACATGCATATATCCCTACACAGGCACACACACATATACATAATTAAAAAATAATCCTAGCACTAGGAAGGCTGAGGCAGGAAGACTGCCAGGAATTTGAGACCAGCCTTGGTTACTCAGTGAATTCCAGGCCAGCCTGGGTTACACAGTAAGATCCTATTTCATGGAGCTGGAGAGATGGCTCAGCGGTCCTCTTGCAGAGGACCCGAGTTCAATACCCAGCACCCACATGGAGGCTAACAACTGTCTTTAACTCTAGTTCTAGGGGATCTGACACCCTCTTCTGACTCCATGGGCATTGCACGATACAGGTGCACTTACAAATATGCAGGCAATATACACTCATACACATAAAAATAATAAAGATTAAAAAAAGATCTTATTTCATATAAGAACAAACAAAAAAAATGAGTTCTAAAACTAGCTAGCCCATGGTGGCAACACACCTTTAATCTCAGCATTGATTGAGAGAGGCAGGCAGATCTCTGAGTTTGAGGCTATCCATAGCAACATAGAATATAGTAAGTTCCAGGCTGGCCAGGGTTACTTAGTGAGATTCTGTTACCAGTGGACAGCAGGCTATATATATATGGGCTCAAGTTCAAGGTCAATCTTTCTACCACAGAGGCTGATGATCTTTATAAGCAGGGAAAGAGGTTTGAGGAGACTCAGTCAGGGCAGCAGGCACTGGCAGGCACATGGAGGGACCTTTTTTGAGTGACCCCATTTCCAGTTCTAGTCTCTCACTCTCCTACCAACAAAGCCAGGAGAAGACTCACCATGCACTGAGTCTTCAAGTTTAGAAAGACTTCATCACTTTGGCTAGAATCACAAATACATTTTAGCATTTGCAGGCTACTCAGAAATGCATTTTGACTCTATAGACTGTTCTACTGGTCTTCTGCAGCCCACTAGGCAAGAGGAAAAAACAATTTTCCAGCAGAAGAATCTTAGCAAATACTTTATTAACACATACTGTTACATTCCTGGGCTACAAGTCCTCAGAACACTGAGCCCGCACTGAAGCCACTGTGACACATGTTCTGAGCTCTCTTCCAGCTACTTTCATAACCCTGCAGCCCTCTGACAGAACTGGGCTTGCTGTATCTTACCCTGTCCGTGTTCCTGCACGGACACAGGTCTCTTCTGCGTCATGCAGATGGCTGATACGTAGTTCCTTTGCACTTGCCATTAAACCAGAATGGAGATAAACTTAGCATCAGCTCACCAAAAGGGAATCTAGAGTCATTTTTCAAAAAAATCACTCTCTTTTTGTTCTGTCCAGGAAGAGGCTGGTGTATCTTTAGGATGAGCACACAGATTCCCACTGCCGGAATATTCGGAATACTTTCCTTGATTTTTCAGAGAGACTCTACAAGGAGAAAAGCTTGTTATCAGAAGTAAATTCTTTCAAAGAGACAAAAGATAGGTAATAGCTCTAGGACTGCTCTGGTCTATAAATTCCTTTCACATTGATCTGGACTTATCTAGGGTTGAGCAAAAACTCATTTTATATTATGCCATACATAATGCACAGCTAAAGTCAAACAGAATCAGAAGCCCATGTTCTATTGTCAGGCCACTGGTAACGTTAACTTAGCATCCAAACCTGGCTCATAGCATCCCTCTAAGTATCTGTATCTTTGTATATGATGATGACATTCCTTACTCACCATTAGTGTAGCACACAGTTTGCACTGGTTTTCATCCATGATGCTTAATTGGACCTACTTCATTATTTCTTATAAACAAGGGTTCACATTTATGTGGTACCTAGCTGGGGTTAATGGTATTACCAAAGTCTAAGTCTAAGCCAACTATGACCTTGGCTTTCTCCTTCATGCTTTAGCCAACAGAATTAAAAATAGGAGGACTCTCACTGTCACTTGATCATACCTAAGAGGAGCTCTGACATTCTAAGAAATGCCATTCCAGGGAGACAAAGCAATTCATTAGCAAAGTTCTCAGTAAATAAGAACACTTGGTTCTGTCTTTGAAAGTGACACTAATGAGGAATTATTCCCCAAGGCAAGGGTCTAGTGATACTACAAAGGATATTTACAAGATGATCCATAAAGTTACCTTAAACTTATATAAAATGCCATTTCCACTGTTTCCTTATCCTTTTTTTTTGAGACAGGGTCTCTCTGTAGTACCAGCTGGCCTGGAACTCCCTATGTAGATCAGGCTGGCCTCGAACTCAGAGACCCACCTGCCTCTGCCTCCTGAGTGCTGGGATTAAAAGCATGTGCAACCATGCCCCGCCCTCTTTAAATTCTTTATTCTCAGGTCATCAGGCTTGAGAGCAGGCAACATTACCACTGAGCCATCTCCCCAGCTCATTTTTTTTTTCCTTAAAAACAAGAGGAGCTTTAAAGTCAGAAACCCAGGGCCTTTTATGAAGCAACTCCCTAAAACTGCATCCCACACCAGAAAAAAAAAAGCCTGTGAAGTTTTTTTTTCTTAAACTCACTATGTAGACCAGGCTGGCCTCTCTCACAGAGATCTGCTTGCCTCTGCCTCCCAAGTGCTGGGATTAAAGGTGTGTGCCATCATGCCCAGCTGTGAAGTTTCTTTTTAATATCACAGAGACAGAGGGGAATCTTAATAAAAATTGCCAAGACATTATTTCCTGAGAGAATTTGTAGACAAAGACAGGCTTAACATCTCCAGTTTGAGTGGTGGGCCATATCATGTCTTTATTCCCAAGTCTGAGTGTTTTTTGAGATAAGGTCTCCTATATAGTTCAGGCTGGCCTCCTACTTGTGATCTTTCTGTCTCAGCTTCCTGAGTGCTGGCACGCAGGTGTGTCATCAGCCAAGGTGGCTATGTGGAGGTCAAAGGACAACTTTCAGGAGTTAGTTCTCTCACTTCACCATGTGGGTTCTGGAGATCAAACTCAGGTAATCAGGATGATGGCAAGTGCTTTTACCCTCTGAGCCATCTTGCTGGCCCCCTGATCTAATTTTTTTTCTTTCTTATTTTTGAGACATGGTCTCCCTGTAGCCTCAGTTGGCCTGGAGCTTGCTATGTTGACCAGGCTGACCTCAACCTCACAGAGATCTACCTGCCTATGCCTCCAGAGTGCTGGGATTAAAGATGTGTGCCACCATGCCTAGCTCCTAATCTAAACATTTTTAAATTGAAAAAAAAAAAAAATTTTTTTTTTTCCTGAAAAACTTTGGAAATCCTTCTACATACTTAATAAGGGCACTAAAAATGTACACTGTTGGGCTTTTAGCATCACTATAGCTCCCTCTGGTGGAAATCTTGTGACCTTGTCAAACCATGAATCTGGGAATGCTGGTTAACAAGTACTACTGTACTTTGTCCTTGAAGGTGTAGAAGTCAGAAACTGTTATATTTATGCCAAACTCCGAGGCAAATGTGGAACTGAGCCTGCAAGGGAATGCAGAGCCAGTTCTCAGGACTCCTTTCTGTCTACCCTGTGATTTCCATTCTTATTTTCTCAGATTTTCTCTTTTTTTTTTTGATGCTTTCGCATTTCTTGTCTGTCACTGCAGCAGCCATGACCATGATGGCTAATGCTGTCCAGAGCACATGACTGGACTGTGGGAGAGTAAAGTAACATGTCCGACATGAAAAATGAAACCATGGTTTGGTGTCAGAACATAGAGCTCCAACAGCCAAGTCAACCGGCCAGGTTCCAAACCCAAGTGGCGGCAACTAACAGAGAAAGCAGCTGCTTTGCAATGTGAGGCCGCAGCAGCTGCCTATTCGTCTATTTCTGCTTCTCTATTCCTTTCCTACTTTGAATTATTTTAGCTGGAGGAACAAAGAATTTATCAGAACACGATGGAATGCCATATGCTAAGCTGAAGAAAGCTTGAATTGCTTCTATGCTTTTTTTCTCTTGAAAGAGTCTAACTTGACTTAGGAAGGCTGAAGGCAGATGCAGGGTACTAATTATAGGACCGGCCTCCACTGTGAGTGCTATGCATATGTAGGGTAATGGCTAATCTCACCAGAGAGTCCGTCTCGGCTGGCTGGTTAGACTGCTTGTGGGCCAACAGGGTGGTCAACACGGCTTTCCAGCCTGGCTCTGGTGGGGTGCTGGGAGCATCCAGCTCCGTACTTCCATTCTCCCTAGTTTCTTTGCCAACTGTGACATTCACCCAAGGGCACCAATCTCTATGCTGAGAGGTGGGATCAAAGAAGCTTCGGGAAGCAGTATCCTGAGGGAGGAGGAAAAGACACAGTATGAATGAAAGACAGATGCTAGGTCTATTCAGGGAGGCATTGCAATTACTCACCAAGGACAGACTCTCCCAACTGCCTATACTCTTAGTTTTTATGTTCTTCTTTATTACTATATTATTACTGATATTATTATTTGTTTTTTGAGATGGAAGTCATACTATGTAGCCAAGGCTGGTCTCAAACTCACCATCATTTTGCCTCAACCTTCCAAGGATTTTCTTCTTCAATTCTGCCCTTTAATTTTCCTCTCATTCTTTATTTATTTATTTATTTATTTATTTATTTATTTATTTATTTATTTATTTTGGTCTTTTTGAGACAGTCTCCCTGTAGCTCCAGCTGGCTTGGAACTCACTTTGTAGACCAGGCTGGCCTTCAACTCATAGAGATTCGCCTGCCTCTGCCTCCCAAGTCCTGGGACTAAAGGCGTGTGCCACCACACCCAGCTTTATTATTTTTATTTTATATGTATGTGTGTATTACCTACATGTGTGTAAGTGCACCCATGTTGTGCAGTGCCCAAGGCCAGAAGAGGGCATCAGAGTCCCTGGAACTGGAGTTACAAGCCAGGTGGATGCTGGGAATCAAACCTGGGTCCTCTGTAAGAGCAATCAGTGCCCTTAACCGCTGAGTCATCTCTCTAGCCCCCCTTTCCTCTCACTTTTAAAAGTTCCCTCAACCTTCTCCCCTTTTCGTTGAGACGTGGTCAGTCTCATTGTATAGGCCACAATGAGGATGAATTTGCCATCCTCTTCAGCCTATGAAGTGTTTGGGGTTACACAATTGACATTTTACCTTTTAAGCATAGGGAAGAACATTCTGAAAAGGATTTTAATCACACAGTAAATAACTCAAGAACTGACAAATGGGATTACTCAAAATTAAAAGGCTTCTGCACAGCAAAGGAAACTATCAGCAGGGTGAAGAGACAGCCTAGAGAATGGAAGAAAATCTTTGCCAGCTTACTGTAGACAGAGGTTAACACCTAAAATATGTAAAGAATTGCAGAAGTTAACCCAGAAAACAAAAACAAATCTTCCAATCAAAAAATGGGCTAATGATCTGAAAAAGATAGTTCTCAAAAGAAGAAACACAAATGGCCAATAAATATTTCTAAAGTGTTCAACATCCTTAGCAATCAGGGAAATGCAAATTAAAACTATTTTGAGATTCCATCTCATCCCAGTTTGAACAGCTAACATCAAGAACACAAATAAGGGGCTAGAGAGATGGCTCAGCAGTTAAAAGTACTGGCTGCTCTTACAGAGGACCCAGATTTAAATCTCAGCACCCACACGGCAGCTAACAACCATCCATAACTCCAGTTCCAGGGGATTTGGCATCCTCTTCTGACTTCTGTGGGCACTGCATGACACGGGTGCACTCACAGGCAATACACTCATATACATAAAATAAAAATAACTAATAAAATATTTTTTTCTTTTTTTGGTCTTTTTGAGACAGGGTATCAAAAAGACCAAATAAAGAAAAAAAAGAAAAAAAAAAGAAAGAAAGAAAACAAATAACAAATACTGGTGAGGATGCAAGGAAAAAGAAACCCTTAGTTGCTGCTAGTAGGACTATAAACTGGTACAATTATGGAAATCTGTTTGAGGTCTCTCAAAACACAGAAAATAGATCTACCATATGGCCCAACTGTATCACTCCTGGGTATAAACCCAAAAGACCCTGAGTCTTACCAACAAAGATGCTTGTACAACAATTAAAAAACGGAACCAGCCTAGCTGTCCATCAACAGATGTGGAGAAGAAAATGGACAAGGTTGGGTGTGGTGGCACATGCCTTTCATCCCAGGACTTAGAAGCAGATGTGGGTGGATCCTTGTGAATTTGAGGCTAGCCTGAGCTACAGTGTGAGACCCTGTCTTAAAAAAAAAAAAAAAAAAGAGGGGCTAGAGAGATGGCTCAAGTGGTTAAGAGCAATGTCTACTTTTCCAGGGGACCTGGGTTCAGTTGCCAGCATCCACATGGCAGCTTACAACCATCTCTAACTCCAGTTCTAGGGGATTCAATGCCCTCTTCTGGTCTCTTCAAGTACTGCATGTATGTGATGCACTTAAATACATACAGGCATAATTCTCAGACACAGGGTTGGAGAGATAGTTCAGCAGTTAAGAGCACTGGCTGCTCTTGTAGAGGACCAGGGTTCTGTTCCCAACACCTACATCGTGGCCAACAACCGTCCATAACTCCAGTTCCAGGGGATTGGAGGCCCTCTTCTGACTTCTGAGAGCACTACACAACATGGGTGCACTTATATACATACAGGCAATATACTTAAACACATAAAAAATAAAAATTAAAAAAAAAAAACCTACCTCATCAGGTTGCTACCCTAATGCACTGCTGCCTCATTAGTCTAAAATAAAATATTACCTCTAGAATCTACCCCAAAAGAACAAATGACAAAACCCCTGAACTTCTTTCCTTTGGTCACTCTACTGTTCCTACTTCTTTATTACATTTATTGATTTATTTTGTGTGTGTGTGCTTGCATGTGTAGGTATACGGGGTACCCATCAGGCCTGGCAATAAACATCTTTACTCACTGAGTTATCTTGTTGGTTTTTTGAGACAAGGGTCTCATAGAGTACAAGCTGGCCTCAAATTCAGTATGTTGTAGAGGCTGGCTTTGAACTTTTGATCCTATCTCCACCCCCCAAGAGCAGAGATTATAGGCATGCATTGCCAATGTTCAGTTCAACTGTTCCATCTTTCAGAGTCCAGGGAGGGCTTGTGCTTGCTTCTCCATGCTGAACATACAGGCACTGTCTGCGTTGTGTGTTGTCACAGCTACCTACAAAGGTGGACTCACTGAGCTGCTGGAAGAGCAGAGGCGAGCTCGTTTGGCTTTCCTGAGAGGGCTCAAAGGAACTTCCAGGCCAGCAGAATCTCCTGTTCCCATGCTTCGGGTCACTGGGCGGCTCCTGGTGGTGGGGCTGGCAGCTTCTGGCTCAGGCCGGTCAACAGGACTGGAAGAATCCCAGCTGCGGGTTCGGGAGATAATGGGACCTGGACTTTTTTCAGCCTGAAGGAAAAGAAAGACAATGAATGCATATGAATAATGTCAATGGTTTTAGCCTGCTTACTTCTAGAAGCATGTGAAACACAGTATTTTATAGTTTAAGTAATATAAATTTAGTTTCTGAACTGTCTACAATAACTAAATATTCCTCAAAGAATACTGCTTTTCTTTCCTTTTTTTTTTTTGTTCTTTTTGAGACAGGGTCTTCCTGTAGCCCCAGCTGGCCTGGAACTCACTATGGAGACTAGGTGGGCCTTGATCTCATAGAGATCCACCTGCTTTTGCCTCCCAAGTTCTAGGATTAAAGGTGTGTACCACCAAGCCTGGTGAGTACTGTATTTCTATACTTAGTTTCTGTGATAAACTTAGCTTCTCCTTCTGTGAAGAGAAACCTATGATAGTCTTATTGATATGGTTTAAAGTGAAGCCTACTACCCATTTCCAACTTTCTATTACCCACACTCTTTTTTTTTTTTTTTTCTCTTTTGTCTTTTTGAGACAGCGTCTCCCTGTAGCCCCAGCTGGCCTGGAATTCGCTATGTAGACCAGACTGGCCTTGAACTCACAGATATCTGCCTGCCTCTGCCTCCCAAGTGCTGGGATTAAAGGCATGTGCCACCACACCCACACTTTTGGCAAGAATGCTATTAAGATGTCCACTTCAAACAAGCCAATACCTGTTCTGAGCCTGGAGAAAACGTGGCATCCTGGCTTCGGGTCATCATCCGCCGAGGAGATTCAGGCACCAGAGGGAAGCGCTCAGGCCGCCCCTCAGTGCCTGGGATGGGGGAGCCAGTCAGGCCAAAAGAAGTGTCAAGGTCAGATATGGCCAACTCAATCTGCTGGAAGCCCCAGAGACCGACCTTCCTCATACACTGAGAACATGTTATCAGGGAAAGTTGTGTGGGTTCCAAAGAACTAGGACGGAATGGGAAAGAAAATGGGTGTTTTCAAAAGTGACATTTCCATGTGACTAAATATAATGACTACTATGTTTTATTCAAATAAATCTCTACAGTGGTCCAGTAGATTGGAATCTATGCCTCTTGGATCCCTCATCACCCAAGCTTCATTATCTCTTACATTATTTTTTATAAAAAGGCCTATGGCCATCCTCAAGCCAGGAGTGGTGGTGTACGCCTTTAGTCCCAGCACTCGGGAGACAGAGGCAGGTGGATCTCTGTGAGTTCCAGGCTAGCTGAGGCTACAGGGAGACCCTGTCTCAAAAATACACAAAAAATATTTCCATCCTCAACTTTGGGCTGGAGAGATGGCTCAGTGGTTAAGAGCACTTGAGTGCTCTTGTAGAGGACCTGGGTTCAATTCCCAGCACCCACAGGGTGGCTAACACACTGTCCATAACTCTGACACCATCTTCTGACTTCCGTGGGCATTGCATGACACGGTTACATTTACACACATGCAACCAATACACTCATACACAAAAAATAATAATTAAAAAAAAAAAAAGGATCTATGGATCTGGGAGTGTTCTTGCTGGCAAAAGTACTGTGAAGTCATCCTTAAAGTAAATCAAGGGGGCAGGGAACTGAAGAACGGTTCAGTGGTAAAGAGGGTTTGGATCCCAGAATGTGCATTGAGCAGCTTACAGCCATCTATAACTCCAGTTCTGGGGATGTGACACCCTCTTCTGGCCTCTGAGAGCTCCTCACACTGTGGCATTTACTTACATTGACATGAACACATAAACAAAAAGAAATCTTAAAAAAAAAAAATAACAAAGAAAATCAAGGGCCAGCAAAATGGCACAGGAGGTATAGGTGTTTCTGTCAGCCTGACAGCTTGAGTTTGATCCCCAGAACCCACATGGTGGAAGAGAGAACCTAACTCCTGTAAGTATTTCTCTAACCTCCATGCACATGCCCCTACACACACACAAAAACAAAGGCAAAAAAAAATATTTTTAGACTAAATCAAGACTGGTTCTAACTTCTCTAAAAGAGTACACTAAACAGCTGGAATGGAATGGAAGCATAAAATGGGGCTGGGGGACTCCAGCTGCTGGCTCCTCTGATTCCTTTTATCAATTAAAGTTATTTTTCTTCTTTTCTAAAAATAGGAGGTTATTTTCCATGTACTTTTAGAAAAAGCTGCATTGTTTATAGGAAAACAAGTTCCCAGTATAAGAAATAAAGTTCGGGGCTGGAGAGATGGCTCAGTGGTTAAGAGCACTGGCTGCTCTTGCAGAAGACCTGGGTTCAATTCCCAGCACCCACAAGGCGGCTAGAAACCATCTGAAACTCCAGTTCCAGGGGGATCTGACACCCTCTTCTGATGTCCGTGGGCCCTGCACAAAATGGGTATATCTACTTACATGCACATAAAATACATACATACATACACATAAAATAAAAATATAAAGTATTTTTTTAAAAAAGAAATAAAGTAGCCGTGCATGGCGCATGCCTTTAATCCCAGCACTCTAGAGTCAGAGGCAGGAGGATCTCTGTGAGTTCAAGGCCAGCCTGGTCTATATAATGAGTTCAGGTCTGCTGGGACTACAGGGAGACCCTGTCTCAAAATGACAAAAAAAAAAAAAAAAAAAAAAAAAGTTCAGGGGTGAGCCCCATGAACTTCCTACTACATACTTTAGTTTTGTTGCTAATTCTTCTTCTTCTTCTTCTTCTTCTTCTTCTTCTTCTTCTTCTTCTTCTTCTTCTTCTTCTTCTTCTTCTTCTTCTTCTTCTTCTTCTTCTTTTTTTTTTCTGGTCTTTTTGAGACAGGGTCTCCCTATAGCCTCAGCTGACCTGGAACTCACTATGTAGACTCCAGCCTGGAACTCACAGAGATCTGCCCACCTCTGCCTCCCAAGCGCTGGGATTAAAAGCATGCACTACCACACCCGGCTTTCTTGCTAATTCTTATCCATTCCCCTATTCTGTTTCCTCCAATTTTCAATGTTTTTCCACAGAAAACATGTGATTTCCAGACAGTATTAGTGACTACTGTCATGATTCATGTCCCCAGGCAAAACTCACTAACCTACATGCCCAGCCACACAAAGAGAGAACACAGGCAGTGACATGCACTTGGATGTCCAAGCCTAATTTGCTTGTAGTTTTTTTATCATCGCTCTGGTAGTCAAGTTCATCTTCAAGCAGGTGTAGCAGAGCACTGATCTTGTCTTCTGTCAAGCACTACAAAAGGAACCAAGGTTAAAAACAAACTTCAAGTTTCAGCCACCATAAAAAGAAAACTCACTCTTAATGGTGTACCTAAATGGTACATGGTAAAAGGGCAAAGTGGTGACACAAAGATAGCATCTTTACAGGAAAAAAACCTACTCTAGGGTAGGACTAAGGTGCCACACAGAAGCTTCCTGAATTGCCCTGACCTGCTGACTCAGATCAGAAAGCAGTTTTTCTTTTTTTATTTTTTTTTAAATTTTTTATTATTTTTTTGTGTGTATGAGGATATTGCCTGCATGAAGGTGTACCCATATTGTGCAATGCTCCCATGGAGGCCAGAATAGGGTGTCAGATCCCTGGAAGTGGAGGCATGGCTGGTTGTTAGCCACCATATGGGTGCTAGGAACTGAACTCTGGTTCTCTCCAAGAGTAGCCAGTAAGTACTCTTAACCACTGAGCCATCTCTCCAGCCCCTTCCTTGTTTTTTTTTTTTGGTCATTTTGAGACAGGGTCTCCCTGCAGCCCCAGCTGTCCTGGAACTATGTGGACCAGGCTGGCCTTGAACTCAGAGAGATCCGCCTGCCTCTGCTTCCTGAGTGCTGGGATTAAAAGCATGCACCACCATGCCTGGCCTCCCTTCCTTGTTTTTAAGTACTAAACTGTTTTTAATGTACTAATATAGATTTTCTCTGAAACTTGTGAATTTAAAACCCAAATGAAAACACATTACTTACTGTTTATGGCTTGGCCTGAGACTGAATTTACTTTTTGATAGAAAAGAACTTGACAGTCTTGATTTTTGCTCTAAGCATAATAAAAAACTATGATAGGGTGTATGAGGTAGGAGTAGGGCTGCCTTTTAGGAGTAGGGCTGGTCTTTTTTGAGACAGGGTCTCTCTGTAGCCCCAGCTGGCCTGGAATCAGGCTGGCCTTGAACTCACAGAGATCCGCCTGCCTTTGCCTGTGCTGGGACTAAAGGCAAGTGCCACCATGCCTGGGTAGAGTGTTAATTTGAAGAAGCAAACTAATCAGTTTTCACTTCCTAGAATGCAGCTTGTCTTCACAGAGGACATTCAGGCTAATGAAATGGGACTGTAACTACTCAGCTTCCAAGTACAGATAGGGCAGAGCATGTCAACATTTCTATTCACCAGAAAAGAATTTCTTGTCCTCTAGGGGCTGGAGAGATGGTTCAGCGGTTAAGAACACTGAATGTTCTTGCAGAAGACCCAGGTTCAGATCCCAGCACCCACATGGTAGCTAACAACTGTCTGTAGCTCCAGTTCTAGGGGATCCAACTCCCCCTTCTGACCTCCATAGGCATTGCATAACACGGGTGCACTTCCATACATGCAGGCAATGCATGCATACACATAAAATAAAAATAATAAATAAAATATATAAAAAAAAAAGAATTTCTTGTCCTCTAGCACAGTAAGCCCTAAGCTGTCATATTCTGGGACCTTCTCTTAAATAGTTTAAATAACAAATCAAGATAAAAGAGAATTTAAGCTATTTCAGGGTCTCTATCTAATCATTTAAATGGAACTCATTTACTCAAAGCTTCAACTGTTGACTTTCTGGTGGAAACTGAAAAATCAGATGAGGTAAGCAGTTCTCTTCATGACAATTTGCATTCCCTTGTCATTTAAATAAGGGCTTAGGTACAAAGGCTGTTGGCAACTGGAGGGTACTATAATCTAGCCAAGAATGACTCACCATATTTTTCAAGTCCTCCGGCCTCAGGGAAGGAAGCTGGAGGTCCAAAAGACAAAGGCTTTGAAAACGATCTAGGAATTCACTAACAAGAACAGCAGGCTCACTCAATGGCAACATCCCAAATCGATCTGTGGGAAAAGAAAATTGGGAGATTCAGATTGGGTTGAAAAGTAAAAACATGGGGCTGGGGAGATGGCGCAGTGGTTAAGAGCTGCTCTTGCAGAGGACCTGGGTTCAGTTCCCAGCACCCATATGGCAACTAACAACTGTCTTTAACTCCAGTTCCAGGGGATTCGACGCCCTCTTCTGACCTCTGACAGCACTGCAAGGCATGGGTGCACTTCCATGCATGCAGACAATACACTCAATACACATAAAATAAAAATACAAGCATTTTTAAAAAAATAAAATATTGTTTTGATGGGTTGCAATGATACTGCCATGATCATAGGTAAAAGGTAGAGACAGGAAAGGAAGCTGCCGGGGAAGTCTGTGACCTTGGGAGTCTTCCTTTCTGCCACTGGGTGGTGGCTGCCAGTGACTCAAGTGCTGCCGCCTAATGCAACCTCAAAAGAAATGTTTAAGAGACCACCAAGAAAAATGATTCTTGTGATAGAACTGAGTCAATAAAGCCATCCTTCCTTAGGGCTTTTAGTTATGAAATGGAGTACATTTCCTACCTCTTACCCCAAAGCTTCCTGACATTAAGCTAAAGTTGATTAAAGTTGATTAGAGTACAAGAGTTCTCAGGAAAAGTTTATAATGTGACATCTTTGTGGGCTCTACAAGTTACAGCAGCACGTTCAATCTCTTTAGATTCAATGGGAACACATTTGGACTATAAACGTTAAAGATTTTGTTGTGAATATTTATTTTTATTTTATGTGTATGAGTGTATTGCCTACATGTATGTAAGTGTACCTGTGTCATGCATGTGTTAATGCACCCGCGCTGTGCAGTGCCCTCAGAGACAGAAGAGGGCATCAGATCTCCTAGAACTGGAGTTACGTACAATCATTAGCTGTGACGTGCTGGGATTTGAACCTCAGTCTTCTGCAACAGTCAGTGCTCTTAACTGCTGAGCCATCTCTCCAGCTCCTTCAGACCTTTCTAATCATCTTCTAATTTAGCATTTGGTCTAACTGCTGTTATACTAAGTAACAGTAAAACTCTGTGAAAGTAAAAGAGCAAATGGAGAATAAATTAACCCAACATGAAAATGTTTTACATTAAGTTTAAATGTTATAACTAATGTATATTTTGTGTATAAAGAGTTTAAATATGTTCAAAATATTCAGCCCTAGTAAATTAGTAATTGTCATTTAAAATATTTAAAGGAATTTGGGGCCGGAGAGATGGCTCAGTGGTTGAGAGCACTGATTGCTCTTGCAGAGGACCTGGGTTTGAGTCCCAGAACCTACATGGTGACTAACAACTGGCCATAAATCCAGTTCCAGGGGATCTACTGACTTCTGCGGGCACTGCACGACATGGGTTCACCTACCTACATGCAGGCAATACAGAAATACACATAAAATAAAAATAATAAATAAAATTTAAAAATATTTAAAGAAATTTAACTTGTAATTATTGATAAATATTAGAAAAAAAATACCATAAAAACTGTAATTACTGGACTGGCTATGGTGGTGCATACCTATAAATCCCAGCACACAGGAGAGAGACACAGGATCGGGAATTCAGGGCCATCCTCTGCTACATAGTGAGTTCAAGGTCAGGCTCTACTATATGAGACCCTGTCTCAAAAAAAAAAGCAAAACTAAAACTAACAATAAACCCCAACAAACTGTATTCATTGGCTATGCTTAATAAATTTAGGCACTGAAATATAAGTCAGTATAGGTTTTCCTTTCTCTACACAAAAGTTACCTGAATATTAAAAAACCAAACTCACACCAGTAGGATATGCTGAAGAGGCAGAGGCAGGAGGATCTGGAGTTCGAGGCCAGCCTGGGCTACATAGGACTTTTTGCTGGGCGTGGTGACACACACCTTTAATCCCAGCACCTGGGAAGCAGAGGCAGGTGGATCTCTATGAGTTCCAGGCCAGCCTGATCTACATAGTGAGTTCCAGGCCAGCTGGGGCTACAGGGAAACCCTGTCTCAACAAGACCAAATAAAAAAAACAAAACAAAAAAAACCCAACCAAACAAAACAACAACAAAAAACCCCAAAAAACAAATTAAGTGATATATTTAAAGGTTGTGTCTGAGATCTTTGGAGGAAGAATAAGGACGAGGTGGGTAATGATAAGAATAAGCATGTGGTGGTTCATGCCTGAAACCTTAGCACTTGGGAAGCTGAGGCAAGAGGACTGCCACCCTGGGCTACATAGTAAATTCCAGAAAACCTACATAGTGAGTTCTAGACCAATCTCAGCTATAAGTGAGACTGTCTAAAAAATAAAAACCAATGCTACATAGTGAAAACCTATCTCAAAAATCAAACAAAAACCAGGTGTTAAGATATAAGAGTTCAGCTTTCATGTGTTGAGTTCCAGGCACCTACACTATTAAGTAGAAGTGTTTATGAGGTAGTTGAAAATGAGTCAAGCAATAAAGAGGTCTGGAAAGGAATTACGAGTTCTTCAAGCAAAGGCAGGCTGTGAATGGGATCTAGAAAACAAGCATATCAAAACAAGAGTTGGGAACCACCAACAGATCCCTGGGTAAACCTTCATTGAAACATGGCCTGGGTCCACTGGAGAGAGATTACCTCAAATCCTCCCAGGACTGAGATGTGTTATACTATACAAGAGGAAAAAAAAACTAGGTCACAGGTAGGAAATCCCTGTTAAAGAGTCACTTTCATTTTAAGTTTCATCAGAAGTAGACAGTAATTTGTGATCACCTCCAATTGTTTCTTTCCCTCTTAGTGGTCATGGAATGATCTTAGACATCAGTGACCTTGGAATTGGCTTGAGCTCTGCTACTGAAAACAAAACAAAACACACCCATATTGCACAGACCAGTAATTAAGGCATAGCATATAAGAATGAAGTGTTGCTATGAAACCACAGCTCTGCAGAATTTTGAACATGGACTTGGTGAGATTCCCCACCAGAGGGCTCTGCTGTTGAATCTGTTTACTTAGCAGAGATAGATGCCTGTCGAACAAAAAATACTTCACACTCCCAGTTGATACTCCATTTTGGGTCTCTTATTCAGCAGTGCTTTGTGCACATATCAGTAGTTTCTGATATAAGAAAGATTGTCATTATAAGGAGAAAATAGGAGCTGGTTTCTCTTGACCCTGGTTGGGGCTGGCTTAGGCTATGATGCCCTTACTTGAGTGCTGCTGTTACACGGACACTGCTTTATTGTAGTAACCTGTAGGTTTGTATCGCTCTCATTTGGGGTATGGTGAATGGAGTCCTGGGGTCCTGTACAAACAAACCCTGTTTAACTGCTACCATCAGTGTTACTCGTTCCACTTCCTTCTAAAAGAAATGTAGGCAGAGTATGGGTTGTTCAATATGGTGGGAAAAGCAGAGTTTGGAATAAGATAGCTTCTAATTTTAGGATCTGGTTTTTTGTTTTTGTTTTTTTTTCTTTGGTTCCTTGGGACAGGGTCTCCCTGTAGCCCCAGTTGAACTGAAACTCTCTATACAGGCCTGAACCTCACAGATGCCTTCTGAGTGCTTGAGCACTGGGATTAAAGGCATATATTACCATGCCCAGCTTTTTTTCCTTCTCTGTCTGTGCTTTTTAAGAACCTATATTTATTTATTATTTAACTTTTCTTTGTTTAATTAATTAATTAATTAATTTATTTATTTAGGTCTTTTTGAAGCAGGGTCTCCCTATAACCCCAGCTGGTTGGAACTCACTATGTAGACCACACCTGACCTATTTATTTATTTTTAAGACAGGGTCTCACTATGCAGCTCCACTTGGCCTGAAATTCACTTTGTAGACCAGGATGGCCTCAGACTCACAGAGATCAGTTGCCTCTACTTCTGGAGTCTTGAGATTAAAGGCATATGCCTAGCTTATTTTTATTTTAAAAAGAGAAACAGGTTTATTTTTAATTATGTGTCTGTGTGTGTCTATGAGTATATACATGTGTCTGCAGGAGTCCACAGATGCCAGAAGAGGGCATCGGATACCCTGGAGCTTGAGTTATAGGCATTGTGAGCCACTGGACATGGGTACTGGGAACTGAATTCAGGTCCTCTGTGTCATGCAATGCCAGCGGAGGACAGAAGAGGCTGCTGGATCCCCTGAAACTGGAGTTATGGACAGTTGTTAGCTGCCATGTGGGTGCTAGGATTTGAACCTGGGTCTTCTGCAAGAGCAGTCAGTGTTCTTAACCATTGACCTATCTCTCCAATCCCCTTAAAAATTTATTCATTTATTGCCCAAGATCTATCTACATGACACACAGTAATTAAAAATACCAGATTGGTGGAACTAACCTTCTTGGGTGTTCAACAGACATACTTTGAGGTCTATATTAATTTGGTCAAAGGGACATAAAGGACACTTTTTGCTCCTTGTCCTCCTAGGTCCAGGGGACTATGAGCCTCTCTCAAAATGTCCTATAATGGTGGTGGGTCATCTGTCCTCTTGATCAATGAGGCTGAGGAGAACCCACCAGATGGACTTGAACCAGTGTCCAGTCTATTAAGAGCAGGGTCAACACAGAGGAATCATTTCCTCCATGCTTCCAACCGAAGTCAACCATGGTCGAGTAGGACCTTTGACTTATCTTCACATAGGCAGAACTGGTAAAAGAAAGGAGCCAGGGGCTCCTCCCAAGCCTATGTGACTCCTGAGGAACAGATCCTCAAACCACCTGAAGAATAAAAATAAATCGGTTTATCTGGACCAATTGTATGGCCTTAAACACCCAAAAGGAAAGTATAACCAAAGATTAAATGGGCCAATATAATTTCATAAGAGTCCATATGTATAGCTAAAGGCTACATAACAAGCAACAATGCCAGACAAGCGATACCTTCTTTTGAGTTGTTGGCCAGATTGGCCAAGGGATTCCCAGATAGTAACCCAGCATAGAACTGGGAAATCTAACAGCAGACCCCAATCTTATCCAAAGGAATATTGACAACTGATTACTGCTAGATGAAGAACAGCTGACTCTCCTAAAACAAAGACCTCTAGATAGGCTGACTAGATTCACCGGAAGGGCAAGTAGTGGGGAATGGCTGGGGGTGCTGACAACACAGCAGACAGTAGCAGGGATATCAGAGTATAAGGGCTCTAGTCAGGGGAGGGAGGCTATGGGAGGGTGCTACCTGGGAAGTGGGTGTGTAAATTAAAAAAAAAAAAAAAAAAAAAAAGGTGTTAACAGTGTTATCTGTTCTATTAGAACAGGTAAACATCACCAGTCCCATGATTTTTTTCTTAGATATAAAACTGAATATCCTGATTTATAGAGCAATTGCATGCCTTGATAGTGGTAAAGCTTTATTTTAATCTATTAAGCTTGGGACTGGGAATGAATTTGTTTCTAAATGAGAAAAATCATTGTTAAAAATTTTCATTAAATAATGAAGAATTTTAGAATGAGTTTTGCTGCAAGTGGTATTTTTGAATGAATTCAACTTAAAATTGTAGCACAGAACAGTAAATGTGTGCAAAATTAACACTGTAGCAGTTATTGAGAGGGGCGGGGAGGGGGAGGAAAGAGAAGAAAGGAGGGAAGAAAGAAGGTGAAGGAAAGAAAGAGAAAGAAAGGAAGGAGGAAAGAACAAAAGCTATATCCTATATAGTATATATATGTATATCCCATATAGTTTTATATATTTTTATATAGTTTTATATATATCCTATATAGTTTTAAAGCAAGGCTGTTTCTGAATAAACAATGATAAATGAATAACATATACTGAGATCTTATAAACCAAATAAAACATATCTAAAATATGTAGCATTTTATCATCAGAGTAACACTATTAAAGGCAGTATTTTTGTTTCCATCAAAGAAAATGAAGCTCAGAGGGGTAAGGAAATTCATTTGTGGTCACAAATTTGATAAATGACAGAGATTGGATCGGAATACAAGTCTGTCTGTCTCTAAGCCCACATTCTTATTAATGACTGAAACTGCTATTCGATAAAAATATGGTGCATTTTTAAAAACAAAAATAAATGACAGTAGAAACCACCATGTAAAAAAAAATTTATTCCTTTATTTGTGTGTATGTGTATACATGTGTGTGCAGGTGCCTGTGGAAGCCAGAGGTATTGGATTCCCCTAGAGTTGGGATTTTAAGTGACTGTGAGTCACTTGATGTGAATTCTGGTTCTCTGAAAGAATAATATGTACTCTTAATCACTGACTGAGCCATCACTCCCCTCTGGGACCTGTTTTTTTTAAATGATGTATTTATTTTTACTTGTACAGCGTTTTGATTGCCAGTATGTTTACTGACTGGTATGTGTGCAGTACCTGTGAAAGCCAGAAGAGGATGACAGAGCTCCCATATGGGTGCTGGAAGCCGAACCTGGGTCCTCTGAAAGGCCAGGCAAGGTAGTTCAAGTCTTTAATTTCCAGCACTTGGAAGGCAGAGGCAGGGGGATCTCTGTGAGTTCAAGGCCAGCCTAGTCTACATAGTGAATTCCAGGTCAGTCCTGGGATCTCTGATTCTTAATTCCCTTACCCCAAAACCCGAATTAATAGTATCTGCCTCAAAAGGCCCTTGTGAGGATTAAAAAGACTAGCATCCACATGACTAAACAGCAGGTAGGACAAATGCACTTTAAATGAAGTAATAAGAGAGCTGGAAAGATGGCTCAGTGGTTAAGAGCACTTGCTGCTCTTGCAAAAGACCAGAGTTTGGTTCCTAGCACCTATGCCGCATATAGTCCTGTAACTACGGCTCCAGGGAATTCAATGTCCTTTTCTGGCTTCCTCAGACAACTGAGTGCACTCGTGCATGCGCACACGCACACACAGACATACACACACAGGAATTTTAAAAAAAGAAGAGTTAAATAATAAATACATGAAAGTTCTTAAAAGGCAGAGACAAAAACGAGGAGGAAGAAGGGAAAAAAAAATCTCTGTGAGTTGAAGGCCAGCCTGGTCTATGTATCTACATGTCTACATGTCAAGTTCCAGGCCAGCTGAGGCTATAGGCTACAGGGAGACAATGCCTCAAAAACAAACAAACAAACAAACAAACAAGAAGAAGAAGTAGAAGTAGGAAGAAGAAGAGGAGGAGGGGGGAAGGAGGAGGGAAGAAAAAATAAAGATAAAAAAGGCGGAGGCGGAGGCGAAACTTGATGGTCTAGGGGAAATGATAAATGGGAATCCTCAGAAATACATACCTGGAGAGGGGCTGTCTGGCCAAAAGCAGAACTTTTCATGGGCAGTGCACAGGGATTTCTTGAGCTCAGCACATCGTTCCTTATCTAAAATCCATACTAGTAATTATTATAAAATCCATACTAGTAATTATTATACACTATACAGATTTAAAACCCAAAAGCCAAGAGCCTTTAAGAGAACAAACATAACTACATGTAAAAATAACTAAGATACCTCATACATATGTAAACAACGGCAACTCTATCATCTTAATTATTTCCCACAAAAAAGTTCTAAATTGAGATCCTGGACCAACAAAGGAGTTATGCCATGCAACTTATAAGGTAGGGCATCCCAAAGTATGGGCCTTCAGAATGTTGTCTTTTTCTCTCAAAGTACAAAAAATAACAATGACTGAAGCTAGTAATTACAGTGAGGGCAATCACAAATAAACCTCATAATACAGCACATTCTTGGCTTGAAAAGGACTGAACCAAGCAACTTGCACATGTGAGGCAAGTACTCTACCACTAAGTGACATTCCAAGTCCCAGTATATCTTTAAATGTGGAGAAAAATGTAATCTGTACTTTATACTTACATCTACCAAAGTCAAAGGCTGGCTGCAAGCTGGCACACAGAAAAGCTTGACAGCTGGAGCACTTAAGCATATCGCATTCAACTGTGACCCAGCCATATTTTGCACAGATAAGTGGAGACAGCTCAGGGGGCTTCCCTGCCCATTTCAAAGAGTATTCATGTTAAGAAAAACCAGACTACAGTATACAGAAATGAAGCAAAATTAAAAGCTTCAACTCATTCTTAATGAATACAGGAATAAACACTTATTAAGACATTACAGGGAAAAATATTAAAGAAAATGGTGAAGACCATTACAATTCTTTTTTGTGTGTGTATGTATGTGTGTGGTATGTATGTATATGAGGGACTATGCATGTGTGTGAAGGTCTGAGGCTGATATATCTTCTTCAACTGTTCCCCTGCAGAGATGCTTGAATGAAACCAGCCCGATTCTTAGCATCCATTTCGACCATGAGCCAGACCAGAATTGTTCGGAGAACTTGTTCCTTCAGATTTCTCTGGGAACTATACTCTCAAGCAAAGTAAAAAGAAGCTGGAGAGATGACTTAATTGTTAAAAGCACTTGCTGTTCTTGTAAATGACCAGTTTATTTTCCAGCACCTACGTTGGGTTGCCTTGCTCTTTATTGAAACCTTACACCCAGCATGAAATGGGGAAGGATCTTGTGTCCCTTCTGACCCCTACTGACCTAGGACAGCACACACAACTACATTTAATCCCACCTGTTGTTTGCAGAACAAGTGGGATAATCCATTGCTTCCAACAAATATACCAGCGCTTAATATTCACAACACACACACACAGAGGCATTATTACATTCTAAACAAGCTGAGAATGTAAACAAGCCGAGATAGTGTCTCAAAACAGTCATTCCCACAGTTCCTCTTTGTTTTATAAAAGATGTCTGTATTGTAACAGAAAGCATTCCCAGAAGTCATTCCCACATTCCCCACCTTATATATTGAGGCAGGTCTCTTAATTGAACCTAGAGTTTGCTATTTCAACTAGTCTGGCTAACCAGTTTGCTCCAGGGAGTCCCTGTCTCCACCTCCCACAAATTGTGATTACAGGCAGGCTGCCACACCCACTCAGCTTTTATAAGTGTTCTGGGATCCTAACTCAGGTCCTCATGTTTGTGCAGCAGGTGTTTTACTGGCTAAGACTTCTCCCCAGAGCTTGCTTTTGAGATAAGGTCTCACTCTGTAGCCCAGGCTGGCCTCAACTCCTGACAATCTTCCTGCCTCACCCTCCCAATGCTAGGTTATAAGTGTGAGCCACCGTTCCAGCCACTAAAGACTATTTTTAAAGCACAAATATGCCTTTCAGGATATGATGGGGTCACTTGAGTAATAAGCAGAGAAGGAAAAAGTTATGAACTTCTGCTCTAGGAAGCTCTCTGGATATTATGGCTGTTTTATGCCTATTCTAGCTACCAGGAAGGCTCAAACAAGAGGACCACCTGAGTCATGTAAACCAGACAACATAGCCCTAGACAACATAACAAGAACCCATCTTATAAAAGATTATTTTATTATTGGTTATGGGACAGAATATAGTTGCCAATCGCTTTCATTTAATCTGTACTAGGAAACTGAAGACACTAGTCAAAGCTCTAGGTTGGATGTGCCCAAGCAACACAGGATGGTCAAGGTCAAAGGCAGAAATATTTTCCACCACTTGGCTATGCTCTCTTCATGTACCACAACCATTTTACTTTTCAAATAAAGATGGCAAAAGTAATAATCTTTTTTAAAAATATTTATTATTTTGATTTATGTGTACGAGTGTATTGCCTGCATGTATGTGAGTGCACCTGTGTCGTATAATGCTTCAGAGGTCAGAAGAGGGCTTTGGCTTCCCCTGGACCTGGAGTTTAGGATGATTCATAGCCACCATGTGGGTGCTGGGAATTGAACCTGGGTCCTCTGTAAGAGCAGCCAGTGCTCTTAACCACTGAGCCATCTCTCCAGTCCCAAAAGTAATAATCTTAATTATTCCCCACCTCAACTTTAAGTTCTATGTGCTACATGTTTTACTACATGTGTAAATATTTGTGTTTTTTTTTTTTTTTTCTTTTGTGATAGGAGTCTCATTATGTATCCCAGGCTGGACTCAAACTTGTTCTGTCCCAGTCTCCTAAGTGCTGGGATTATAGGCATGAACCACCACACCACATTTAGTACATGTGTTTTAGACAGTTGACAGCATCTATAAGCATGTATCTAGGGAAATGTCCTTAAACATTTATTGATCTTTGTTTTTTCGGTCTTTTTGAGACAGAGTCTCCCTGTAGCCACAGCTGGTCTGGAACTTGCTATGTAGACTAAGCTGGTCTTGAACTCATGGAGCTCGGCCTACCTCTGCCTCCTTTGTGCTGGGATCAAAGGCGTGTGCTACCAGGCCCAGCACATTTATTGATCCTTAATATTAACATTCATTTGTATTTTACCTTAAAAAGATGTTATTTTATATACCATGGGGTAGCAGGGAAGAAAGGAAAAGGGGGAGATAAAACAAGAAAGACAGCTGGGCGTGGTGGCGCACACCTTTAATCCCAGCACTTGCGAGGCAGAGGCAGGTTGTAATCTACTTGCTGCAATGCAACCTGGTGCATAAAACGCCTTCCGAGTCAGCTGGAGCTATACCGAGAATCGAACTGAGAAATCTAACAAAAAAAAAAAAAAAAAAAAAAAAAAAACCATGAAAGATAGGGGCTGGGAAAGTTGGTCAGTTGTCAAGAGAGCTTGCCACATAACCATGAGGACCAGAGTTTGGATTTTAGGACCCATGTAACAAGCCAGGTGTCACAGACAAACACCTGTAACTCCAGATCTAAGGGAACCTATGTCTTCTTCTGGCCTCAGGGTGCAAAGGGGTCTTGGGTGTGCACACACTCACAAATACACAGATACATATACACATGTATAAATAAATCAATCTTTTTTTTGAGACAGGATATCACTATATAGCCCTGGCCTGGAACTCACTATCCAGACCAGGCTGGCCTAGCACATACAGAGATCTGCCTCTGCCTTCCAAGTTTTGGGATTAAAGTGTGTGTGCCACCAAGCCCAGGATAAAATAAAATCTTTAAAAAGAACAACTAATGGGCTAGAGAGATGGCTCAGTGGTTAAGAGCACTGGCTGCTCTTGCAGAAGACCTGGATTCAATTCCTAGCACCCACATGGTGGCTAACAACTGTTATTAACTTTAGTTCCTGGGGATCTGGCACCCTCTTCTGACCTCTGCATTGTATGACATGGGTACACTTACACGCATGCATACTATACACTTATACACATAAAAAAAATAAAAACAACTGACACCTCCCAGTGGTCTAGTGGTTAAGATTCCCTGTTCTTACTGCTGCAGCCATGGTAAGACTCCAAGTTAGGGCATGGTAGTGCTTGCCTTTAATCTCAGCACCCGGGAGGCAGAGGCAGCTGGATTGTAAATTGGAGATCAGCAGGGGCTACAGGGAGACCCTGCCTCAAAAAAAGAGGAGGGCTGAGGATGTAGTTCAGTGGTAGAGTACTTGCCTAGCATGTCTGAAGCCGAGTCAATTCCTAGCACAAAGGGGAAAAGCGAAAGACAATGCATGTATGTTTTATATTTTTATAAAGGACATGAAAATTTGTAAAAGTATTCTATTAGCTAAAGGAATGAAGGCTAGAAAATAGAATTTGCAATAAGAACGCTAAAGGAGTTAGGATTATCTAGAATTAAAGTACACTGGGTTGTTTTGTTTCTGAGGTGTATGAATAGAACCCAGGGCCTCAAACATGCTAAACAAGTATTCTATCACTGAGTTATAGTAGAATCATTTAATTATATTAACTTAAATGATTATCATACCCAAAGTGATGATTAATTTATAGCCAATGAGGGCTGGTGAGATGGCTTAATGGGTAAAGGCACCAGCTGCCAAGCTTGTTGATCTGAGTCCAATCCTTAGGAGTCACATGGTGGAATGGAAAGAGAGAATTAACTCCTATAAGGGGTCCTTTGATCTCCAGGAGTGCACCTGCACACACACCCCCACACACTCACAAAATAAATAAAATGTAATTTAAAAAAATGTGTAGCCAATGAAAATCAAGGGATATTGATCTACACTCTATTAAAATGAGAACTGAATACAAAGAACACTTACAGCAAGATGGTTAAAACATCTTCCTGAACAATTTCATCATAAGGGCATGCACATTACAGGCACTGTCACCTGACAGAGGATGCAGTGAGAGTGCAGTACCCCTTCATGACCCTTTTATAACTTGAATCTAATCATAACATAACATTAGACAAATGGGGCATACTCTTCACATTAACTGGCCTAAACCTTCAAAAGTATCAATATCAGGAAATTCAAGGAAATACTAAGGAAATGTTCCTGATTAAAGGACATTAAAGCAATATGATATGGGTGTGGTGGCCACACCTATAATCCTAGTACTCAAGAGGCTAAGGAGAATTTCCAGGTGGAGGCTAGACTGGACTATACAGCAAGTTCCATGTTAGCACTTACTGTATAGTGAGACCTGTCCCCCCCCAAACAAAAACTGCTTGGGGAGATAGCTCAGTTGGTAAAGTGCTTGCCACATACACCTGAGGACATGATTTCAATCCCTAGCACCAATGTCATAAATAAATAAAGTGAGCATAGTGGTACAAACCTTTAATTGTAGCACTCAGGAGGCAGAAGCAGGGGAATCTCTGTGAGTTTAAGGCCAGCCTGGTCTACATAGTAAGTTTCAGGCCAGCTGGGGCTACAGAGAGACGCTGTCTCAAAAAGACCAAATAAACAAACAAACAAACAAATAAAGCAAGCCAGGAGTGGTGGTGGTCTAGACAGATCCCTGTAATTCTTGGGCCAACCAAACAAAAGTAATTGGCAAGCCCCAGGTCCCAATGAGACCCAGTGAGCACCAAAGGTCCTCTCTTTCTACTACATGGGTCCCAGGGATTGAACTCAGGTCATTAGGCTCAGCAGTTCAAAGTCAGGGCCAGGGAGATGGCTCAGTTGGTAAAGTTCTTGCCATGTATGCATGAAGACCCGAGTTCAATTCCCAGAACAAACACATTAAAAAATAATACCAGTGGAGGCTAAAGAGATGGCTTAGCAGTTAAGAGCACTGACTGCTCTTGCAGAGGACCCGGGTTCGATTCCCAGCACCCACATGGCAGCTATGAACCGTCCTTAACTCCAGTTTCAGGAGAATCCGAAGCCCTTTTCTGACCTCCGCAGCACTGCATGACATGGGTGCATTCACATACATGCAGTCAATACACTCATTCACATAAAATAAAAATAATAAATAAATTTTTTTTTTTTTTTTTTAAAAAAAAGAATACTAGTGTGAGGCTGGCAAAAATTGCTGTCACTGAAGGCACTTGTTGCCAGGCTTGACGACTTTAGCTCAATCCCCAAGACCCATATGATGGAAGGAGAGCTGACTCCCACTAGCTATCCTGCTTTCCATACATGCACTGTGGTACACATATGTCCCTCCCACCAAAAAGGTGGACAGCACCCAAGAAAGGCTATCCAAGGCTATCCTCTGGCCTCCATATACATGTGTACACATATATACACACACACAGAGAAATGCAAACTTAACAAAACAAAAACAAGCTAGAATCACTAAAGACTTCTTTTAGAACATGGCAGGCAGGCAGTTTTTAAGGCAGCTCCAATAATCCAGGCCTTCTGGTATCCATGCCCTAGAAAAATCCTATTCTCCTGAATATGCTAGCCTAGTGAATTGCTTCTAATGAACAGAATATGGCAAAAGTAATGGGATGTCACCACTGAGATGGTTCAGTGGGTAAAGACCACTGTCACCAAGCCTGATAACCCAAATTCAATCCCCAGGTCCCACACAGTGGAAGGAGAGAACAAACTTCCACAAATTATCTCTGACCTCCACACCTGTACCATGGCACATGCACACATGTGTGTACACATAAACACATTAAATAAATGCAGTAAAAAAGTTAACTGAAAAAATAAAAGAGGGGCTGGTCTTGGTGGCACACACCTTTAATTCCAGCACTAGGGAGGCAGAGGCAGGTGGACCTCTGTGAGTTCCAGGCCAGCTGTGGCTACAGGGAGACCTTGTCTCAAAAAAAAAAGGGGGGGGGGGAAGAGAGAGAATAATCTAGGGGCTAGAGAGATAGCTCAGAGGTTAAGAACACCGATTGCTCTTATAGAGGACTTGGGTTCGATTCCCAGCACCCACATGGAGGATAAGAACAGTCCTTAACTCCAGTTCCAGGGGAATCCAACACCCTCTTCTGAACTCCTCGGCATTGCGTTGCACAACACAGATGCACTCACATACATGCAGGAAATACAAACACATAAAATAAAAATAATAAATATTAAAGCCGGGCATGGTGGCACACACCTTTAATCCCAGCACTTGGGAGGCGGAAGAGGTGGATCTCTGTGAGTTCAAGTCCAGCCTAGTCTACATAGTGAGTTTCAGGACAGCTGGGGCTACAAGGAGACCCTGTCTCAAAAAGACAAATAAATAAAAAATATTAAAAAAAAAAAAATCTAGACTGGGCATGCTGGTTACACACCTTTAATCCCGGCACTTGAGAGGCAGAGGCAGGCAGATCTCTAGGCCAGCTGGGGCTATAAAGATTCTGTCTTAAACAACAAAACCAGAACAAAACAAAAATTTGCTTTCACCTTGCTCTTTTGCTTGTGATAAAAGCCAGCTGCCAAGTTGTCAACTGTTCCTACAGAGTCCCATGTAACAAGGACTCAAGGGAGGTCTGTCTCTAGCCGTTGGACAGCATAGGCCTGAAGCCCTCAGTGGAGAGCCAAAAGAAAAATGAACCTTGCTAACAATCATATGCAAGAGCCTGGAAGCAGATCCTTTTCTAGCTGTGTGTTGGCTTCCCTTTTGAGGGCATCTAGACCAGAGATAAAACTAAGCCACACCTCTGGGCATGGTAGCACACACCTGCAATCCTAGCCAGGGCTACAAATTGAGACCCACGTCAACTTGGGCTATAGAGCTAAGGCAGTATCTGGAAAAAAAACAAAACAAAAAACAAAATCTAGGGCTCAAAAGATTGCTCAGTGGTTAAGAGCACTGGATGCTCTTGCAGGGGACTTGAATTTGGTTCCCAGCACCCATGTGGCAGCTAACAACTGTTTATAACCTAGTTACAGGGAGTCCAATGCTCTCTTCTGACCTCTATGGGCACTGCATGCACATGACAAACTTACATACATGCAGGCAAAACACTAATACATATAAAATAAAAAATAAAAAACACCAGGCTAGAGAGATAGCTCAGTGGTTAAGAGTGCTTGCTGCTCTTCTAGAGGACCAGAGTTTGATTCCCAGAACCCATGACTGGTAGCTAACAACTGCCTGTAACTCATGCTCTAGGGAATCTGATGCCTTACTCTGGTTTCTACAAGCTCAAGTGAGCATACATGTGCACACAAATAAAAACAAATAAACAAAACCCAAACTCAAAACTGATCTGTGCCTGGATTCATAATCCACAGAATTTGTGTGAAAATGTTTGTTGGTTAAAGTAATTAAGTTTTAAAACAATTTGCTATGCAAAATAATAGTGAACTAATACACAAAGAGAATCTAGATATTAAAAATACAGTATTATAATTTTATGGGGTTTTTTTCTGTCTTTTTGAGACAGGGTCTCCCTGTAGCCCCAGCTGACCTGGTACTCACTATGTAGACCAGGCTGGCCTTGAACTCACAGAGATCTGCCTGCCTCTGCCTCCCAAGTGCTGGGATTAAAGGCATGTGCCATCACACCCTGCTTGTCACATAGTACTATTATGACTGTTTTCTCTTCTGCAGAATGAGTAAAATAGGGCAGGAAATACAGGTTTGTGGTAGGATGCTTTTCTGGCATACAGGAGACTCTAGGTTCAATTCCCAGCACTGCCATCCACCAAAAAAGAAAACCAGTATAGCAGTAATAATATTTATTTTTATAGGAGTAGGAGAAAGATCAAATGTGTTATATATGTGAAAACATACTGCATACAAGCATTAGTACCTATTCCTCCTCTTGAGCTCTTCAGTTTTTCTTCTGTAAAAAGAAAAGGTTCAGCCGGGCATGGTGGCGCACGCCTTTAATCCCAGCACTTGGGAGGTAGAGACAGGTGGATCTCTGTGAGTTCAAGGCCAGCCTGGTCAAGATAATGAGTTCCAGGACAGCTAGGGCTACAGGGAGACCCTATCTCAAAAAGACAAAAAAAAAAAAAAAGGTTCATGGATGTGGTGGCTCCCATCTATAATCCCAGCATTTGGAATTGAGGCAGTAGAACTAAAAATACGAAGCTAGTCTTGGGCTACAGGCTACAGTGCAAGTTTCAGGTGCTGACACAAAACAAAAAACAAAACAAACAAAAAGATTCAATAATCTCAATGTTCCTTTGAGGGGTAACATGATGATGCTAACTTTCATGTACCAGTTCTTACTCAGATTGTTTCTTCAGTTTAGAATACCAGGGTAAACAGTGTAATGGTACAATCCTAGGAGCAGATGGAACTGCTATGTGAACTACATGAACTAAAAAGGATATAGAAAAGGTCTCCACTCTGTTGAAAAAGGCCTCTTTGCTTGTAGACTCCAAAGGAGGCTGTTCTGCCTGAGGTGATCCATTAACTGGCTGGGCTGTGGCAGATGTAGCCTTCCTGAAATAAAACAGTAGAACAGTGGGTCATCTTTTCTTCTGCTTGAAGATTCTGTGCTTAGTTGTTCTACACACCATATCGCTAATCACAGCCAAACTGGATCTTAGGCTTCTAAAAATCATTTCAGTCACCACATTTCATTCATCATGCTTATTTTTCCAATGATTTCATAATACTTACTAAATAGACTCTAAATTCTTCAATCTGGCATTTATAATACTTTATAGTGTAGTCAGATTCTCCTATCTCATTCATTGTTCTCTAACAGTATTTTGTATAACTTTAGTAAACACAAAAGAAGGCCTTCAAGTCTTCTGATATTATTTCATTATACAGTTTAAACCACTTTAGAAGTCACTCTGTAACCCAGGCTGGCCTAGAGCTACTATGCCTGGCCAGAAATTTAACTCTTTACAAAAATTTATTACTACTATTATTATTGTTTGTGTGTGTGTGTGTGTATGCCTGTGCCACAGTACATGAGTGGAGGTCATGGAAAAACTCTGTAGAGTCAGTTTTCTTCTTTCACCTTTACATGGGTTCCAAGGATTGAACTCGGGTCACCAGGCTTCCATGGCAAGCGTCTTTACCTGCTGACTCATCTTGCTCACCCAGAAATTTAACTCATTTTTGGTCTTTTGAGACAAGGTATTACTATGTAGCACTCGCTGGCCTGAAACTCACTATGTAGATCAGGCTAGCCTTGAACTCAAAGAGATTTACCTGTCTCTGCCTCCCAAGTACTGAGATTGCAGGTATGTACATCATGCTGGACTCAGAATTTTTTAATTTTATTTTATGTGTATGACTGCTTTGCCTTCTTGCATGTGAGCGCACCCCACACATGCCTGGTGCCCATGGAGGCCAGAATAGGGCATCAGATCACTTGGAGTTAAAGATGGTTATTAGCTGCCATATGGGCAAATAGGAATCGAACCCAGGTCCTCTGGAAGAGCAGCCAGTACTCTTAACCACTCAGACATCTCTCCAGCTCAGAAACTTAACTCTCATTATCAGAAAAAATAGCTTTGATGTCCTTACCTACATGGACCCTTGTTATCCATGCCTTCTGAAAAAAAACCAATTAGGGGCTAGAGAGATGGCTCAAGAGTTAAGAACACTAAATACTCTTGCAGAGGACCTGGGTTTGGTTCCCAGAACCCACATGGTGACTCATAACTGCCTAGAACTCTAGTTCCAAGGGATCTGATACCTTCTTCTGGCCTCTTCAGGGTCCTGCATGCATGTGGTACATATAAACTCATTCAGGCATACACATATATATTAAAAACAACAAAAACCAATTAGAAAATTCAAATCAAGGATAATACCATTAAATTTTATGAAAAAACTTCAGAAAGAAAAACAATCAAAATCCAACAAAACCACAGATAAAAATCAGCCAAGAGCCAGGCATGATGGTGACGCCCTTAATCCCAGCACTGGGGAGGCAGATGCAGAGGCAGGTGGATCTCCATGAGATTGAGGCCAGGGTAGTCTATGAGTTCCAGGCCAGCTGGGGCTACAGGGAGACCCTGTGTCAAAAAAGACCAAAAGAAAAAACAAACACAAAACAAAAAACAGCCAAGCCATTATTTCATTTTCAATGAAAGGCATTTCTATAACACCCAGGAACAGAAAGGGTCAGGTGGGGTGGGTAGAATTGTTGGAACAAGAACCATTTGTTTAATTTTATCTTGTGTGTGTGTGTGATGCAGATAAATGTGCCACCCCCCCCCCCCCCCCCCCCCCCCCCGTTTGTGACTTTTTTTTTTTTTCAGATAGGGTCTTACTGTAGTCCAGGCTGGTTTAGGAACTCACTCTGTAGGCCAAGCTGGTTTAGAATTCATGGCAATCCTCCTGGTTCAGTCACTCAAGTGTGGGATTACTGACAAGAGCCACCATGACCGGCTAAGAACCACTTTAATAAGAATAAGATAACACCAATAACTGTGGCTTGAAAGAAATATATTTTATTCTAAGACTCTTCCTCAGAGATTTACAGAGTGCCTCAAGGATATGATTTTTTTGGAAAAAATTGAGATCTCTAAACTTGGATAAGAATTAAATATTTATTTTGCAGACCTCTGAAAATTGCATGACTTCAATTATGACTGTTAAGAAAAAAACAAACCCATTGTTCACTGCAGTCTAAACAGTATCTGTGAATTTGTCTACAACAGAAAAAAATTGATTTACATTATGGTTGGCTATATTTCAAAATAGTATTTATGCTATCACTACTTCAAACTTATGGCTGATTGTAAACAACGCTCCTATACACAAACTGTCTCTCCCCCGTCTGGAGAGGGAGGGAAAGAAAAAGAAAGAAAACGTTATTACATAACTTCTCCTTTATGGCGTAATTGGTTTCATTTATGATCCCATGAAATTTGTTTTACGTATTTAACTTTTTCTTTCTTTTTTCGGAAAAGGGGTTCCTTAGCTTCATAAGACTGTAAGGCTCCATGGCACACAAAAAAATGTTAAGAACCCTAATTAATAGTTGGGGCGCTAATTCAGCGAATAGTTCTCTCTCCCTCTAAAAAAGTCTTCCGGCAAAATTTCGCACGTGACGCCAAGTCAAATACATCCGGAGATCAAAGCCAAGCAATCAGGGAATCCCTAGTCTTTCACATCCCATGAAGAATTCATCTCCACTGACCAAGCCTCGGACCCAAAGTACCCGCTGAGCCCCTGCCCCTGTTCCAGGCCCATGTCCCCAAAGCCCTCCAATCTTCCAGCGCCCGATCCGGGGCTGACTGGAGAACTCACGCGTCGGTGCCTCCCTCTTCCGGGGAAATTCCCTCATCTATCAGCTGCCGGACTTTCTGAGGAGTCACTTCAGGCGAACGAACGACTGTACCCCAAGTCTTTTCAACACCCGCGGCAACCTGCTGCGCCTCGCTGGGAGCCGCCATCTTGGTCCGTTGCCGAGTCGCTTCCCCGCGGGTGAGGAGGCTCGGGAACTTCCGTTCCGGTGTTAAGATCCGCCTCTAGAGGCAGCCTCAGGCTGCAAAGTTGTGATCTCAGGTTCCACCCCTTCCAGGTTATCTAAAGGGTTCTGCAGTGGTGTAGGACTAGGTGTAGGTTTATGGGTTCTTTTACGAACCAACGTGTTTAGGTTGATTAAGGATTTTTAGAGCAGTGTCTATCTAGATTCAGTAGCTATGAGGGGACAATTGTAATCTTCAAATAATTCATCCTAGCTCTCCTAAATTACATCTTTTTACAGGTAAGGAAACGGCCATCCTTATTTGAGAACAAGTAATTTGTAGCCCTTCATTTGATTGTGTTGTGAGCGTAAGGAGAAGTCGCATATGACACTATGGAACACTCCATCCTTTTAAAAACATTTATTATGTCCTGAAGTAATGGACCAAAAAGATGTACATAAGCTGGGGGGTGGTGGCCCACGCCTTTAATCCCAGCACTTGGGAAGCAGAGGCAGATGGATCTTTGTGAGCTCAAGGCCAACCTTGTCTACATAGGGAGTTCCTGGCTAGCTGGGACTACAGGGAGACGCTGTCTCAAAAAGACCAAAAAAAAAAAAAACCTAACTGAAAAATGGTTTCACCCTCAGAATGATAACTTTGAGGTAAATGCATATTTTATTTTATTTATTTATTTTTTGGTCTTTTTGAGACTGTGGATGGTGCCAGATGTAACACCAAGTACTCCACCCACTAAGCTGTAACGCTTTTAGTTTGAAGAGCAACATCCAAACTAACATAATTGCATAGTTTTCTTTCAGAGTTCTGGGGATCAAACCCACAGCCTCAGATATGCTAGATTTTTTTCCAAAATTTTATTTTTTTTATGTGTATGGATGTTTGCCTGTGCCGGCATAGTCCACCAAGAGGACTTTGAATCCCCCTGGAGCTGGAGTTACAGATGGTTGTGAGCCGCCTTGGGGATACTGGGAACCAAATCCTAGGCCTCTGCCAATATTCTTTTTGTTTGTTTGAGACGGCCTCCCTGTAGCCCAGCTGGAACTCGCTATACAGACCAGGCTGGACTTGAACTCACAGAGATCCACCTGCCTCAGCCTCCCAGTGCTGGGACTAAAGGCCTGTGCCACCACACTGGGCTCTGCCAGTATTCTTGACTACTGAGCCATCTCTAGCCCCAACATAAGTAGTTCTTAATAGAGTTTGACATCAAGCATATTTTCCTATCCATTTTTTGTTCATTTTTCACCAAGATCCTGACGATAGCACTCTATCACTGAGCTATAGCCTCAGGCCCTTCCTATAGTTTTAAACTCATGATTGTAAATTTTCCAAGGAAGGTCTGTAGAGGACTGTAACAGGAGGACCTACTTTGGGTTGCAGATTTTCCTGAGAAAATCAGCTGTTGGGTGGATGTGGTGACTACTCAGGAAGTAGAGGCATGAGTATCAGGAATTCCAGGCCAGTTTAGATATGTAATGTGTGAGACCCTGTACTACTACTACTACTACTACTACTACTACTACTATTACTACTACTACTATTACTACTACTACTATTATTACTACTACTACTACTATTACTACTACTACTACTACTACTACTACTAATAATAATAATAAAGTAACCCAGCCCAGCACTCAGGAGTAGTCAGGCAGATCTCTGTGAGATCAAGGTCAGCCTTTTCAACATAGTGAGTTCCAGGCCAGCTAGGGTTACAGGGAGACTCTTTCTCAAAAAAGGAAAGAAAAAGGAAAAAAAAAAAAAAAAAAAAAAAAAAAAAAAAAAAAAAAAAAAAAAACCAACAAAACCAAAAACCAAAACCTACCAAGCCAGATGTGGTAGTACACACCTTTAATCCCAGCACTCTAGCACTCTGGAGGCAAGAGGCAGCTGTACCTCTGTGAGGCCAGCCTGGTCTTGAACTCACAGAGATCCACCTACCTCTGCCTCTGCCACCAAACTTGTCTAGGAAATTCTTTAAGAAAAAATAAGCAAACGGGTTTGTATTGTTTACTTAATTTTTAGTCTTTAAACAAAAATTTTTTTTGGTCTTTTTGAGATAGGGTCTCCCTGTAGCCACAACTGGCCTGGAGTCACTATGGAGACCAGATAGTTACTCTTTAATTTTTAAACTTTGCTTAATCTTTATTTTTTATTTTAATTTTATTTATTTATTTGGTCTTTTTGAGACAAGGCCTCCTTATATTCCCAGCTGGCCTGGAACTTGCCATGTAGAGCAGGCTGGCCTTGAACTCACAGAGCTCCATCTGCCTCTACCTCCCAAGTGCTGGGATTAAAGGCATGCGACACCACGCCTGACTAATCTTTAATTTTTATTTCTTATTGTGCATATATGTGTGTGCACCATGTGTTTGTGTGGAGGTCAGAGGACCACTTTGTAGGGTCAGTTCTCTTCTACTACCTTTACATGGGTTTCAGGAATCAAACTCAAGTGGACAGACTTGCATGGCAAGTACCTTTACCCAATGAGCCATCTCACAGGCTCTGCTTAGTCTTTAAACCTTGTTTCACATTACAACCTTTGAGCAATGTAATTTAGCCACAGAATCATGAATACAGACATTGTATAGACACCTAAGCAGGTCTCATTCTCTTGAGATGACCCTACCTCTGTGCGGGGTATGTACTATTATTCTTTCGTGTATGTGTGTGTGATATATGTGTGTACATGCTCATTTATGTGTATATACATGTGTATACTGTGCTCTGTGTGTGTGTACACGCTCATTTATATGTATACACATGTGTATATTGTTCTGTGTGTGTGTGTGTGTGTGTGTGTGTGTGTGTGCGTGTGTGTGTAGAGGCCAGAATTTGATATCAGGTGTCTTCTCAGTCAGTCTCCACCTTACAAGCACTTTATTGACTAAGCCATCTCTCATACCCCTAAAAAATGTTTTGTTTTGCTTTGCTTTGTTTTGTTTTGAGACAAGGTATATAACCCTGACTAGTCTGGAACTTGATAAGTAGACTAGGCTGACCTCAAACTCACAGAGCTCCTCCTGCTTCTGCCTCCTGAGTCCTGGGATTAATGACATGTACCAACACATTTGACTCTAGAACATGTTTTTAACTATTGGATTTGGGTGATAGTGTTATGGGTTTATTATATTCTTTATATAATTGAATAGGTTTGCCAATATATATTAAATAGTAAAGTAAACCAAAAAACAATACATTCCCCTGAATACCCTCTCAACTTCATTGACTTGTCTTGTTTTATAATACTTAGCAAATCCTCAGTCACAGTGGGATTCAATGCTCCATCACTCTGTTCCTGTACCTATAGTGAAATATGAGTCAATGAAAACATACTGACTTGATTTTCTTTTATTTTACTTTAATTTTTTTTGAGACAGAGTTTTGCTATATAGCTCTGGTTGGCTTTGAACCTGTGATCCTCCTGCCTCTTACAGACCTGTGGCACCACACCTGACTCTGTTTATGTTCTTGTCCTTGGATAAGACTTTAATTTTGCCCGATAATTATACTACATTTCTCTAGTCCAATTTCTTTCTCATTTTCATTGATAACTATTTTATTCTTCCCCAATTCTTTCACCTATCTATCCTTTCTTTCTGCTGATGACTCTGCTTCCTGTTTCACTTAAGAAAATTAAGCAGGGCCAGGTGTAGTGGCGTACACTTTTAATCCCAGAACTCGGGAGGCAGAGGCAGGTGGATTTGAGTTTCAAGGCCAACCTGGCCTACATACTGAGTTCCAGGTCAGCCCCGCTACCGGGAGACCAAAAAAAAAAAAAAAAAAAAAAAACCAAAAACAAAAAAAACAATCATGGGGCTAGAGAGATTGCTCAGTGGTTAGGAGCATTGGCTGCTCTTCCAGAGGACCCAGGTTTGCCAGCACCCACATGGCAACTAACAACCATCTGTAACTCCAGTTCCAGGGGATATGATGCCTTTTTCTGGCCTTCATGAGCATTGCTTGCATGTGGTGCACTTACATACATATAGGCAAAACACTCAAACACATAAAATAAAAATAAAATAAAAATGTAGAATACATATTGAAACTCTCAAAAAAAAAAATGTAACAGGGATATGCTTCAGGGGGTAAGGACTACCAGGCCTGATGATCTTGAGTTCAATCCCTGAAGAAGCCCATATGGTGGAAGGAGAGAACTAAATTCTTTGGTCACACACACACACACACACACACACAATATAAAAAAGACAACAAAAACACAATATGCTAGACAACAGTGCTATCACTGAGTTACATTTCCAGACTAAAGATCAGACTTTTAATAGTATGTTATTTGTGGTGCTAGGAACTGAACCTAGGATCTCATTAATGCTAGGCGAATGCTTTACCATTGAGCTATCTCCTTGGCTCTTGTTTTCCTTTTTCTTTTGAAACAGTATCTTAGTAAGTTGCCCAGTCTGACCTCAAACTCACTCTGTAAGCTAGGCAGGCCTGGAACTTCTTATCTTCTTATATCAGCCTTCTGAGTAACTGGGATTACAGGCCCATTCCACCAGGCCCAGCTTGGGTGTTTTCTAATAATAGGTCCCTTTCTTAGAGACTTTCACTTCTAAGTTCATTACCAGAATACATTCTTACAATCCCATTTCTTTTTAAAATATTTTATATATTTATTATTTTATTTATTATTTTAATTTTATGTGTATGAGTGTATTGCCTGCATGTATATGAGTGCACTCCTGTTGTACAATGCCACGGAGGTCAGAAGAGGGCTTTGGATTCCCCCAGAACTGGAGTTGCAGATAGTTGTTAGCCACTATGTGGGTGCTGGGAATCAAACCTGGGTCCTCTGCAAGAGCAGTCAGTGCTCTTAACCACTGAGCCATCTCTCCAGCCCCTACACTCCCATTTCTGTAAAAAAACAGATTATTTGCTTTAGATTGCAGCCATATATATATATATACATATACATAAAGATTTAGAAGGAGAGACATGGAATTGATAACAGGTTATGGGGGAGAAGAGTAGAATTGAGGGGAGAGTGAAGGTAAGAGCTTCACTTTTCCTACATAGTCTTCTATTTGTT